GGAGAACCTGTCCTAGCTCAGAGTGTAAGCATGGCTCCTGCTATGGGTTTGGGGAGTGGCGTTCTGAAAATGTACCCAAGCCAATGCCCTGCCTCTAATCCACGCCATAAGCTGCCATCCCAGCTGATGACACTGACTCCAAGTCCTTTGTCTTTACTCCTGTCTGCTTTCCCCAGCCAGGTCTTTCAGTTTTGCCTATTCACCTTGTGTGAACCAGTTGAGTTCTCCCAGCAACACACAAGGCCTGGCCTTGTCTATGTGCACTGCCCTTCCTCCTACCCATAGCCTGCCGGCGGCCCAAAAACACAGTCCAGGCCTCAAGAGCACCCTGTTCTCTCTTCCCTGCCTCTCTGCCATTCAGCTGCTTGCCCTCCTCCACCCTGGGTTCTTATATCCCTTCGATGGGTACTTCTTTCATCCTGCTTCTGCTATAGGGTTTTGGGGTCTAGCTGTTCCAAGTTACATGGTGGGGTTAGGTAGGGGGAGAGATGGGAGCCTCTGATTAGGTACTGGCTAGGAAACCATTCTCAACAGTCCCAGAAAGAAGAGAACAGAGACAAAAGAGCAGGTTTAAAGTTAGCATCAAGGCTCAGCGCCCGTGGCTCAAGTGGCTAAGGCGCCAGCCACATACACCTGAGCTGGTAGGTTCAAATCCAGCCCAGGCCCACCAAAAACAACAATGATGGCTGCAACCAATAGCCAGGTGCTGTGGCAGGCGCCTGTAGTCCCATCTACTTGGAGGCTGAGGCAGGAGAATCGCTTGAGCCCCAGAGTTGGAGGTTGCTGTAAGCTGTGATGCCATGGCCCTCTACTCAGGGCCACAGCATCAAGGTTGGGGCTGACCCAACTGATGAGATCCACGTGGTCATGTCAAGAGCAACTCAGAGTAGGAACCCCCTTCCCCCGGCCCAGGTCCCATGGGCCAGCAAAACTAAGTTCAGAGGGGCCAGTCAGGCCAGGAAGCTGAGTGGGCTCCTGATCCCTGTGCCCATGCCACCCTGCCTCAGGGTCCCAGCCCCTTTTTAGTGTGTGTCTCTGGATCCCCATCTGTTCTCTCCTTACCTGGGATAGGGCCAGTATAGGATAAAATGAGAGTATAATAGGCTAGGCCCCTTTTATCTCATTCTCTTAGCAAGCCTGGCCCTCAGGGCTGGTTCTGAGCTCCTTCCCCTTTAATTAATCCCTGTGTAGCCACAGGGGAGCTGAAAGCTCCTGTTTAGTCTCCTGGGACTAAAGTAAGTGGGAGTTTTTGTCCTTCTAGGCCTGTGTGTGGGGTTATTACCCTTACAGGCCTTCTTGGCTCCTTAGCTTGGGGTGGGGGTGAAGCCCTAACCTGCTAGTCAGGAAAGACTGCCTGGAGGCTGGGAGGGCTGGGGCAGAGTGACCTGGCCTCAGGTAGAGGTGGTGCTCAAAGCAAGCTCTGTGCCAGAAATGAAAGAGATTTTGTTCTGAAGGTAACCTGTAAGCTAGGTTTGTCCCTGTGGAAGTGAGAGGAAAGAGGTACATGAAGAGAATGAACAGGATCTGCAGAGGCACAGGAGTAAGACAGGGAGAGGTGGATTGTAAGAGAGAATAAGGCTGGAAGAGTAAACTGGGCAAGGTCGCTTAGTCTTGAATGCCAGGCCAAGGAAGCTGTAGTGCTTTCTTTTTTCTTTTTTTACAAGCAGACAAAGGGCTAAAGTTTATTAAAGCATACTATATTCCAGAGAAGGAATGGGTCTACCCTATAATGTGGAGAAAACCCTGGGTTTAATAAAATTTTCCCCCTTTATGCTGATTTCCTAATTCTGTGTTAAGCAGAAAAGGGTAAAATGTTCATGATTTTTCTTGGAAAGAAGGGGAGTCCTCCCTTTTTCTATCCTTGTAAGGCAGTTGTAGTGTTTTCTTAGGAAATGGGTAACTGTTGCATGTTTTTGAGCAGGGGCCTAATGTTAGGCACACATGTCCTGGAGATGGACAGTAGTGTTCAGTGTGATGAGTATTGAAGTAGAAAGCAAAGTGGTCCTGGTCTTAGCTCTTCCATTTGTTGGCCCTAGAATATGGGGCAAATTATGTCCCCTCTCTGAGCTGCAATTGTTGTATTGAAAAAAAAAAATGGGAAGAAAACTATCTGGCTCAGCGCCTATAGCTCAACCGGCTAAGGCGCCAGCCACGTACACCTAAGGTGGCGGTTCGAATCCCCAGCCCGGACCCGCCAAACAACAA